GATGTCACTGTAGTAAACCTCTGCTTCATGAGGCTAAATCTAGAGCCTTGAACCATCCAGAAATCCTGGACCAGATGTCAGACCTGTCACCAGATGATCATCCTGTCCTGTGTGGCCTCTCTTCTGGGTGAAAGCAGGAGGGCTAGGAACCCTCTGATGAAAGCAAAAGCTGAAAAAGTGCAATTCTGTGGAAAGAAATTAATTCTGCCTCTGCAGTGGTGGTAACCTCTGTGAGGTTTGCCCAGCAGATGCCAGCAGTAAATTAGCAGAGAGCTTCTGGAAAAATAAAAGGAGCTGAATATGTAACTGTTGTGAATGCTTCATTGCTTAAAGAGTGGTTGCTTGAAATAGATTATTTTTTTTTAATTAAGGTTAATTTTTACTGTGAAGATTCTCATTTTATTCTCCGAATCTCTGAGAATACTGTGTTAGACTGTCTCAATACAAGTCAGAAACATCCAGGTTTAAATTTGGTCTACATTTCATAATAATGGCCTTCCACAAACAATGGGGTTAAGTTACTTATTTTAAAGATGTTTTATGCTTAGCCTTTTTGCATCTTATGTATTTTTACCTGACCTGTTCTCTTCCTGTTTATTATCCCCTTCAGAATAAGAGAATAACTCTTCTTGTTTACTGTCCCTCTCAGTTTGAATAACAAATTTGACCTGACATTAAGCTGCTCCTTATTGTACTGGAGGTAAAAAAATAATAAATAAAAAACTAAAAATCTAAGTCATATGGTATTATCCTTCACTTTCATTGAACCATCTGGACTTCTGGAGCTAGAGCTGAAAACTGTCAACATCTCTTGATGCAAAACAAATAGACTTAGCTAAAAGGGAAGTTCAAGCTGGCAAATCATCCTGTAGAAAGTTTAGAGTAGTTCAACACTGGAGGAAGGAAATCATTATCTGTCAGAAGAGCCCCATCCTGCCCAAAAGCCATAGCATTAGATATCTAATGCTCTTCCTTTAAAGATTAGGCTCATATTCAAGATTTCAGTGGGAACCAGATTTTGGTTTTACTAAAGTTTATTTTTGGTTTGCTGTTTGTAAAGCTTATGTTCCAAGCAAGTGGAAGAGGTCTAGTCTCTCATATGATGACTTCCTTAATGTAAGGAAACTGCAAGGAGGACTTGTTACTGCATGGATCACCCCCTCAGTAATAAAATTGATGCACATATGATTTTACGATACAGATAATACATGTAAATTCCAGGTCCTTCTGAACTGTACGGAATATAATGTGTTATCCACGTAATTCTGTTGATGACTGTGGTTATGTACCTTTTCAAAAAGATTTCCTTGAATCAAGACGTTAAACGATACAAATAAAGTAACACTGTCAAGTCACAAAGCGGTTGAAACACCTTATGATTTGGGCTTTCATGTAGGATCATAAGCACTGAAAAAAAGGAGTTCACTAGTAATATTTATTTTTTTACTTTTAAAAGATTCCTATTTGAAACTGTAAGAATGCACTGAAAAGTAAACTTGTGTCACATGGGATTGAATGTTCATTACAAATAATGATTGTTATATGAGTCTAGATTATTACTTGTCATTTTATGTTCTTGGCAATTACTGTATCTCATTTAAAATATTTATTTTTCCTTTTGGCTGAGTTTCTTTACAAAACTGGAACAGTCATCTTAAAAACTATGATCTCCCAGGCAAAATAAATTGAGTCTTGGAATTATGTCAAGACTTTTAACTAAAGACAAAGTTTAAAAGCAATCTTTGTGCAAAAATGAAACTCACTTTCTCCCTTTAACTCATCTTTCTACCTACTGCTTCTCTGGGTGTTTCTGTCCGTAAGTTAAACATATGCTCTTTTTCTTGCTTTCTGGAAGATTTCCAAAGGTTGGGGGGAAGTCTTACAGGAAATCTTTCCAAAACATATTTAGGACTTGCTCATCCTGTGCAGATAAAACCCTCAGATATGTTTTAATACAGACTAATTGAAACTGGAAAGCTATAATATTTCGTTTGGGGCATTATTTTTTTTTTAAATTAAAAAGTAGAAATTTGATGGCTATTTTTCCTATTAGAATTTGCATTAAGAGTTTTACTTCATTGTTACTTCCTTGTTTCTTTCAGTGAGTTCCAGATGTGCTAATAATTTGAGATTTATCTTAGTATAAATGTTTATTTGATCAAATGAGCATGTATTGCATTCTGAGACTTCCTTATCGGATTATCAGATGGAAGTGAATGCAGTATCTGCCTTTCATGAAGTTTTCTGTATGCCTTTGATTTGAAAATGTCTGTCTTCACGTTACAAAAATAATCCAGACAAAGAGACATATACATACAAGAAAGATATGGCTTTAATTCTTTCCCAGATATAGGCTTAGATTTTCCAGGCGTCCTGGAGTCTAATTGCATATTTGGCTAATCTAATTTTGTCTTGTGTGACTATTGATATGCCACATAAATTGAATCCATTCTTAGAATACTGCCAATACACAGAATTAGAATTCTGTACCAGTGCAATACCACAGGTTGATTGTGCAGTGTCTAAAGTGATTGGTTCTAATTAAATTTCTTCCTGTTCTATTTCCTCTGGGGAGCATACATCAGACTTCTGGCCTTTTATGACTAACATTCTTAAATTATATATTCTTTCATTGATCCCTTGGAAAACTCAACCCTGCCCGTTTAACAGGTATTTCTTTGGGGGCAGCAAGGAGTAGAGATGAACAAAAGTTGTCAAGGCAACAGTATATCATCAACATACATACTGACATCTACAATATTCCCATCATTATTTGAAGTAAGTTATTAAGAGAAGCTGCTGAGTTACTACTAATGTAGTGTGGTGTTTGCTCGTTACATCGTTTGAATGTACTATCATTATTATTTAACCTTCTCTTGTTTATAAATTACATTGAAATACTGCTTAACAAGGAGAGAAGCAGAGGTAGGTGTTTATCAGCGTTAGGAAGAAGCATACTGACTTTAAGTTTGCATCACATCTGCCCTGGTTTCAGCTGGGATAGAGTTAATTGTCTTCCTAGTAGCTGGTACAGTGCTATGTTTTGGGTTCAGTGTGAGAAGAATGTTAACACACTGATGTTTTCAGTTGTTGCTCAGTAGTGTTTAGACTAAGTCAAGGATTTTTTCAGCTTCTCATGCCCAGCCAGCGAGAAAGCTGGAGGGGCACAAGAAGTTGGGAGGGGACACAGCCAGGGCACCTGACCCAAACTGGCCAACGGGGTATTCCATACCATGTGACATCATGCCCAGTATATAAACTGGGGGAGTGGGGGCGGGGGGATCACTGCTTGGGGACTAACTGGGTGACAATGGGTGGGTGGAGAGCAATTGCACTGAGCATCATTTGTATATTCCAATCCTTTTATTATTACTGCTGTCACTTTATTAGTGTTATCATTATCATTATTAGTTTCTTCTTTTTATATTCTATTAAACCATTCTTATCTCAACCCATGAGTTTTACTACTTTTCCTGATTTTCTCCCCCATCCCACTGGGTGGGGGGGGAGTGGGTGAGTGGCTGCGTGGTGCTTAGTTGCTGGCTGGGCTTAAACCCTGACACCATCTTTTGCACTACTCTGTCATGTATTCGGAAATGCTCTGATTGTAATGAGACAAAAGTAGAAATTAATACAATCAGATCAGATAGCAGTTGTTAGTCCAGAGGACTATGCAGATGCTTTCAGGGATGCTGATGGTGTGGCTAGCATCATGTGTGCATTCAAAATAGGCTTTAAAAATAGTGTTAACATAGCCAAAAATGGAGGCGGGGGAAGAATGATGATTAATTCAAGGTATGTGCGTCTGCGTCTTTTCGTCTCCCCACAGTCTTATTACTCCCAGACTTCCACAGAAGGTAAATATTAGTGTTTCTGCTCTTTCAGTTACAATGCTGAAAAAAAAAAAATGCTTACATCAGTGAAAGTCAGTACTTCTAAGGAGGGTAAATATTAACTTTTCCTGGCTTTCCCAGTAGTTATTAAATCTTATGCTATGAGCTTCAATAAATTACCATGTAAAAATTTATTTTTGTCAGGCATGTAACCCATGGAATACCAAGGTTTGTTTCATAAATGTAGCTGGGGATTGACCTAGCTTCAGAAGGTCCAGTGGTGCTCAGGACGTAGGAAGCTCATTTTTTATTTTCATTGCCACTATATGACATGCTCCCTCTAAGAATATCTATCATGATACCAAAATGGGCATGTATAAAACACACCCCCCCCCCCGATTATTCAGGATTTAATTGAGATTTTAATCAATCAAGGCAAGAAATTAGATTTAAAGGTTTAGAAAATGAGATTTAATGAGTAAGTAGACATTTCAATCAATGGCAAAGTATTCATCCTTTTATATACAGAGAGAGAAAATTCATATATATAGCTATAAAAGAAAACAAAAATATTTCTGAACTATTTTATAAATAGCTAAAATCCAAGAAGATAAAAATCTGTACTTTCTTGTGTGATATGCAACATATTCGGCTGCATATATAAATGAGGAAAAAGAATTTTGCCTCTTGTTCTATTTTACATTTCATAAGAAAAAGTAAATTGTTAACTCCTTATAGGTAGGTATATTTGTGTTCTAGATTCCTGAACTGAATTCCTGGTCTGCAGAATTAAAGATGTAAATAACTAGACGCTTGCAACAGCAAAAAGAATTATATGAAGTAAGTCAGGTCCACCAAAATACATTTGGAGTATGTAGATCAGAACTACCAGAAGGAAAAAAACCTAATCTCTATTACTAGGTAATCAAAAATCTTCAGAGCAGTCTGTTTATTCTACTGAATAAATACTATTATTAGTGCTTATAAAATCAAAATAGGATGCTAACATTTTCCCACACCAGATTTTCTTGTCCGTCTCTTTGTTATTAGGATGCGAATGTTTGAACGCTGTCACTGCTCTAGATAGAACACTTTTTTTCCAAAAATTACTCTTTTCAAAATTTTTTGAGTAAGAAAAGCCAAAAATACTTAGCATAAAACAATTATTTATCTCTTTGCTGATGTAAAAGGTGTTTGGCTGTATTGCTGAAAATGAATCCCTTGGGATGCCGTAATCTTCATAACTTCTCCATTTAGAGTATCATCTTCAATTATTGTTATCAGTCCCTCAGCAATTATTGATGGGCTGAAAAAGAAAAGTTATTTCAGAATCACGATGTAATAGAACATGTGAAAAGGACAAGTAAAGAAACTCAAAGTAAATCTATATACCCTGAAAATTAAACAAACTAGTATTTGAACAAATTTATTTTCAAGTAAAGCAGAGGTGGTATGAGTTTTTCAGGAGAGAAATTCAGTCTCCTCAATCAGGGCATAAGACGTAAAGTGGCAACTTTACAAATCATAATTTGTTTGCTCTAGATGTCCCTGTGGACATCCAGCTGCCACTAGGCTTCCTATCAAAGTTTTCTCTGTCAGGGCAATGGACAGAAGTAATCCTTACACAGTCCTCTGCAGCTCTTTGCTGTTGCTGTTGATTCATCCTGTTTCTGTAGCAGGACTAACTTACAATTAGCATAAGGAGAATTTCTTCACATGCAGTTTGCTGTGGTCAATAGGTGCAATATGTTTTACATTTGAAAAAGTGTGGGTGAAACAACAGAGTCATACAATTTCCTCTGTGCAGAAGTATCTGAGCAGCTATTTGTTAGAGACAGAGAAAGTGTTAAAAAAAAAAAAATCACTTTAGGCTTGTCTTGTTCTCACACTCTTTCCTAGCTGTCTGCTTTTGGCTTTTGTTGGCAGTACTGTAACGGGCTAGGTAACTCATCCGATCCACCATTGTTACTACTGTGCTCTTATGATCTTAGTCTGGTTTTGTCAGTTCTTGGTCTGATTTCTCTCTTGGTTCACTTGCAAATTTTGTGGAAATTCAATACAAATGACATACTCTGTATCTCACAACTAATTTGATTAAACAAATTTATGAAAGAACACCAAGGGCTATTAAAAACCAAACCCACCATTTTTAACTTGGGAATTCGATTTGCACTTTGCTGGGGAATGGGAATGCATAAAGGGAAATATCGCTATGTAGGTGATACTCTTAAAATAACCTTAGATATCTGCTGTTTGTTCCTTGTATATAGGACAAAGTATTTGATAGAATTTTATCTGAGCCAGCATTTCCCTTTTATTTTAATTTTGCTGAAAGTGCTGTTGTGTCTGCTTGTTCTTCATCACCAAAGGGCAAAACCCCCACTGTATCTGACTTGACTTACTCCATCACGCCATATAACTGCATCATATTTTTGATCTCATCCTTATATGAATAATATTGTCCCATATTCTCTTCTTTATCTATTGACTGAAGAATTGGTGTGTTGACAAATCCTGGACAAATTGTGTTGAGTCTCACACCGTAGTTTTCCATATTAGCAGCTAACTAGAAAAGAGAAAAAGACATTCGTCATCAACATTTTAAAACAGTATTGTGTAAGTAATTTTTCAAAGAATGAGAGTTACCACTAAGTACTTTTCAGCCTTGCCTAGTAAGAAAATTTTGTTACTACTGATTGTTTTGTTCCAACAACTACGTTTGAAGCATGTTTTGTTTAGTAATAGTACTAGATGACTAGAAAAAAAATCGCTTTTGCTGGGAGAACAATTCTACAGGAAATCAACACTCTTCTTTCCATGCAGCTGGTTTTTTTCTAATATTTTTGTTATTAGTGCTCTTGGCGTGTCATTAACAGTATTGTAGGGTGATGGTGTAACTCTCATAAGGATAAGCAAGTAAAAAAAAAAAAATCTCCCAAATGTACGCTTTCAATCTTTATAAGAACTTTCTTACTAAAAGAAAACTATCTGAAATTAAATCAAGATTTAACTCTAAGATGGTATTTACCTCCCTCATGTCAAGAGAAATAGGATTTGGTCTCTCCCCCTACAACTAATGCTAAACCTTCCCAGCTGCTCTGTTGTCCCTGCTGAGGGGTGAATCTGTCACTGAGCATCTCCACAGGAACGTCCCTGTGAACTCCAGGAGAGAGGCAGGAGTTTTTTCAGGAAGCAATTCAGGACCATGATGAAAGCAAGCAGCACAAATTGTTCTGGGAATGGTAAGGCCCTTCATTTGTGGTGCTACCAATGCATGTGTGTAGCAAAGCAGTCTGATCAGCATCCAGGCATATGTTGAATGCTGGATGAACTTTCTTAGCGATGGCACAGAACTTACAAACTATACATGATATATCCAAGAATAACCATAACTGTTCAACACCGATTTCTATTTATTTGAACATTTAACGGGAGTCCTTTCTGGTATTATACAAATCACATGTCATTTTCATGATACGGAAGCCAGCCCTTTTGGTCTGGAGAAGAAAAGAAACTGAATTCCTAGCTGTTTTGTATCATACCTGCCCAGCATTAGGCTCTACTGCCTTTTCTGGTAAATATGGTGATTCACTATGTTTATTATTCTTTTTCTCCTCGGCATTCTCATGTTCCATAGAGACAACATTTCCTCTAATTTTCTAGCAGACCTTTTATTTTTGAACTTAAATGGTGATGCTTATATTATCATGAGAAAACAAAGATGGAAAACCAGATGTCATGTTGATGCTGTGGCTAATACGTTATATGCAACACTTATCCATACTAATCTGTTTAGGTTAATCTAAAAAAGAAGTTAATTGGGTTGGGGTGTAAAATATAGATAAACTGTCCAAATGATCATTTCAGATGCTTTATTCTGGAAATTAGATTGGAAATCTTATATGAGTAGATTATCTTTAAGCTTAGCCTGTGAAAGTGTAATCATATTTGCTCCCTCCAAGTTATTTTATTATACTGCTTGTCCAGTTTAACTAGAAAGATTTGGAGTCAGAGGCTAAGACTTGCTGTATGGTCAGATAACATCTAACATGTCCCATCCTGAATGTGTCATTTTGCATTTTCAGTGTATTAAGAGTTGGTAAGAATAAATAAAGGTAAACATTTTTGTGTTCAAGTCACTTTTTGTACACTTTAGTGCCTATATCGTTAAAAAAAGTCATCAACCTGACTTACAAATAAGGAAACCAAAATGTTAAATGACTGGGATGGAGTTATGAAAAAATTTTTTAAAGCTTGGATAAGAATTTGACTTTTGGGCTCCTCCCACTGTCCTTAAATTACTTTGCAACATCTTTCTTCCATGCTCCCAAAACCTCAAATAGGTCATAAACACACACATGCCTTACTTATTCCATCTTTGGATTCCTTTTGTGAAAGAAGAGAACCTCTACTGCTTCAGACACTTCGTTTTCTTTAAGGAAATTAGTTCCAGTTGTGTGACAATAGAGAGGGAACATGAGAAACTTAGCATGTTCCCAAGGAGCTGCTGATACTGTTTTCAAAAACACATACTTACTGCTATTGACCGTGTGAATCCAATTACACCATGCTTTGTAGCACAGTACACAGGTTGGAATGCAGCAGGCATGAGTCCTTTAAAATAAAAAGGTAGCTGAATAAAGATGTTGGGTACTCCTATTTATGATTACCTTAAACACACATATAGGTCTATAATGTCAAAAATAAGTGATGGATTCATAGAGATGCAACAAAATAGATTAGTAAAAATTTGCAAATTATATTTTGTCATCTGAGGTAGGCTGGGAAAAGATATGAGATGGATAAAACCATGAGAAGGCAAAATAAGAGTAATTAAAAAGTACAACTTTTAAGAGGAAAAGTATCTATGAAGTATGACTTAAAATGGAGGACAGGATCTGGAAGAAACGAGGATGAGATTTTTTTAGCCATCTTCTATGAATCTGTAAAGGATGTGAAGTATGTAAAGTATTTTAGACAAACTTTGATTGCTGACACCCTAGCTGCTGATATGTAAACTGGACACCTGCAATCATTTACAGTGATTTCAGGGAGGAAGTGTGGGAAAAGGTAAGGGAAATAGCAAAATCCTTTTTGACTACTGTAACTGATTTAATATTATCTTTGTAATATATAAAAACATAAATATAATGTCTGACTTAAATCCCTTGCTTATGTTGCTTCTGTGGAATAGTAACAAGACTCAGCCTCAGATAAAGCTTTCCCCCTAGCCCTAATGCGAGAGATAAGAATGTGTGTGCTGCACAGCTGACTGAAGCACAGTCAGCCCATACATCTGCCCATGCAATATTGCTGCTGCTTATTTATTTGGCAACGTGGGTAGTACTATAACAAATTACGTAGCCTTTTGCATAGTGGTTTTTGCTCAAAGGAGCAACTATAAACAAAGTAATTCAGACTTGATGCACCATCTGAGGCATTGTAAAATTTGTTTCACTTACAATATTACTCTGGTAACATTTCATAGGTGATAGTTATTTTAAAGAGTTTTAAATTAGATAGGGAAGCCATTTTGCAATAAGCAAATAGAAAAAGCACTAAGAAGTGAATGCAGGACCTCAGTGCAGAGGGACTATATAGCTAAGTGAGTAAACACTGTGAATGGAGTAAGATGAAGACCTCAGATAGTGAGCAGAAAGAAATGAAAGCCGAGACGTGAATAGGAAAGTTTTTGAAGCAGTTTCTAGATTGAATTAGATTGGCTGAAAAGGATTTCATGGTATGGTACCTTCTGCAGTGGGCCCTGTTCTGGAATGAAAAGCCAGGATGAAGATTTTTAGAAGGGAACAGGAAAAAGAGGTAACAATCATGGGTAATATCATTGCTATCTTCTGTAAGGAAAAGCAGAAGAAAATAAAAGATGACTGGTAACATTGTGAACCTTTATGGTGGGAGTGGGAGAACATGAAATCATTATTTATAGTGGAGAAAGAAGGGAGAACAGAGTTTTTGGTGGAAAATTAAGAACTTAATTCTAGTAAGACTGAGTTTGATGGCAAAAAGCTGGTCAAGAAGAGATGACAGACCATGAGTGTATATACATTTCTGCCCGTTATGCCAAAAATTTCCACTATACAATGACAGCTGAACTGGACCACTTGGATGCTGTTGTTGCACCTGAAAGCTACAGTCTTGTGAATAGCAAACGACAGCCTGTCCTAAAGTTAGAGGATGAAATTTGTCTGCATTCCTGAATGTGGTATTGTAAAGCTGGATATTGATTTTGATGTGTTACTGTTTGATTCTAATGGAAGTCGTCCCAATTATTCTCTCAGATATGTTTTTTCATTCTTCATCTTTCATATCTTTAAGGGATATAATCAAGAAGGGGCGTGACTTACCTCAGTGGAGATGAAGAATACACTACCCAGCTTTAAGTATGGATTTGTCAGAAAAATTGCCTATGCCAGAGACTTGTATGGGCTCTTTGCTCTAGAATCCATTTTGTCTGAAGGAAAAAACTTTCTGAGATGGCACAAAGCTCTAATTACAACCCTGACAGCTTCCAGGTTTTATCTTGGTTTAAATGCTACATTGGTGATCCAGTGAAAGCAACACTATTATTAGCACTGTTCAGTGGTGGGAAATGAAGAACTTAACCCAGTGGCTGGTTGTTCTCTTAAACTTGTATTTATCTGCTTAGCTTGGATTAATGTGTTACGCTTCTGATTGAGAACTTGCTTTATGAAAAATGGCTTTTGTGTTGTCTCCTGTGGGTTGTGATCGCAATACAGGCTTAATATTCCTCTGTTTGGTGGCTTTTGATGATCGTCACCATTCTTCAAATAATTGGAAACATTGGAATATTAGCACCTTAGAAATATTATGATACTATTTTTTTTTTAAACTCCTGAATAGCTTTACGTGTTTTAAAGGAAGAAACAATCCCAATGAGGCTGTAGCTAAGAGACAGGTAAAAGACAAAATCTATTGGGAAACACAGAGTTTAGAGGTAATTTTATTTTTTTTTAACACGGCAAGACAAACTACTTGTTACTTGACAGGGAAAAGAAACAAAGTCAAGAAATAAACAAAGGAAGGGCACAGCTCACAATAATGAAGTGGAATAAGGTTCAAAGACTTACTTAAATGTCAAATGACAACAGGAATAACTAGTCAGGAAGGGAGGAACAAATAGCGCTTTTTTGGAATCAAAACATTAAGCCCAGTTCTTTAGCAAAAATAATAATTTCAGTTAGGAAAGTAGAGAACCAAGAAGAAATCAACTAACTCGCTTTCAGCCAAAGCAGGGACAATGAAGACTAGTCCTAGCATCCCTCACCCAAAACAATGACAGTCCTGTCTCACTTTTCTTCCTGAGTTCAGTACTCAGAACCATGGTATGGGATTTCCAGCTCTGAGCCATTTCGCTGCCCCGGGAAGAGCTGAGCCTCCATCCATTAGCGGTGTGTCCTGGCGGCTGTGCTAGCAAGTATTTTGGGACAAACCGCTGCGTGACATTGAGCCTGCTCTGCCCGAGTATTTTATTCAACCAGTGAGCAAAGATGAGTTCATAGCATATTAGTTAGGGCATTCATTTGTAAGAAAATCTGGATTCTATTTGCTGCTCCCATGAATATTTGATTATCTTATGCAAAGTGGAACAGCAGTAAAACAGACTGGAGAACTTTATGCACAAAATAACGGGGGGAGGAAGGGCAGGGTGTTCAAATGGATAGTGATGGGGCAGCGTACTCCTGGAAAGTGATACCTGTGGTTTTCAGTCTCTCTTAGCAAGGGGAGGCAACTATGCCTAGATTTTCCTCTGTCTGGATGTTGCTGCATCCCTGAACTGTTACATGAAAGGGGATAGGGAACTTCCTTCTCCCCTCAAACAATCTTCATCGAGAACTAATTGGTGAATTGCAAATGATTTCATGATGACTGCAGGTGCTCTTTGGTTTACCAAAACCAGTTCAAGCGGACCAGCAGTAATCCTATGCGTCAGTGTTAACTATGCTCTTTTTTATTTTTCTCAGTTCCTGGCAGGCTGACAGAGACAGCTCTTGCCCTTGGTTATACTTTAGTCCCCTTGTTGTTACAGTGTCAAGACCACTCTACTGTTTGAGATGTGGTGTCGGGCTTCTCACTACAACTTCTTATTTATCATGGTCAATAGTTCCAATATCCACATCTTGAGAAATTAGTATTGGACAAGGAGGATTGTGTCAATAAGCTTGAATTGTATCAGTAAGCTTTGTTGAAACCAGTATTTCCTTTCAGTCCACTGAAGAGCTTTGATGAATACAGAATTAAGCATTTTTCCTTAGGTATGCTTTCCCACTGAACATATGTTGCCCTCAGAGATTTGAACAAGTCTCTTCCTTTGAATAAGATTTATTAGCTTTTAGATGACCTTTCTGCCCCCTATTTGCTCCATGGGTGCACTGTTAGGCAGCTTGAGACAAATGTAATTCCTGTTTGATAGTATCTTTAAGTTTCATTAATTGTTGGAAGAGTGTACTTCATGTTTGGATGAGTGTGGCACAGAGAATAAAGAACCATAGTCTGTTTTCTACCGTAGCTGTTGATCTCATGGAGGCTTTGGGTTCATCAAAAAGCACCACTTCTACACAATGATTATGCAGTGATGAAGCACTATTCCAAGTTATGCTTTAGACAAATATATTCACTGTTAAAACATTTAAATATTCCATTAAAATATTTACATTTTCTCTCACTAATGTGATAATCAAAGTATTGTGTCGCATCCTAAAATTCTAAATTTTTCATTCTTTATGAAGGAGATATGTGAAAATGGTGAAAGGTAAGTTTTGGCAAACTGACAGAACCTATTTAAAAGTGAAGCAAAAGTGTGCTGATCTATGTGCTGGAAAATATTGCCAAAGTAATTTGTTTTCCTTTCTGTATTAGGTTTGTTTTATAAAAAAAATACTTATCAAAGCCTATTGCAAAACATAGAATACTTATAAATAAATAACAGCACAAGATTTAACCATATTTATTTAAATAAAATGTCTTTCCAAACCACATTACAGAAATCTCCTTTGTCACCCTTAGGCAAAAATCTGGATAAGGAGCATGGAATATGCTTACAATGCTCTTTGAAGGCCAAAGCCTCTTTTGAAGAAGCGGATACGTAACTAGACAAATGAGCTAGGGGCATGATGGTCCTACAGAGTGATGAGAGAATTGATTAATGGGGTTTATATAATACCCTATTCTTAAGAATAGGGAGGGGTACAAGATCACGTTCATTATGTCAGTTATACTACTGTGATCTGTGTCAAAACAAAGGAGACCCAGAAATCCTAGCAAAAAATGTAAGCTGTGTCATTTCTAGGAAATTTTTTAACAGTGAACTGAAGTCTCAGGGGAATAGTTTCTAAATTTTCTAACGTCGTTCCTGTGGATTTTGCTCAGCATCCTCCTTTATAAAAAGAGGAGGGACCAGAAGCTCTTTCATGATGCTGAACTGAAGGCCCCAGTTGTACAGCCATTTACACCTTCACTCCACTGTATCACTGTAATAAAGTCTTGCCTTTACTCAGTGATGTTAACCACATGCTTAGCTTTGTTCTTTTTTTATATATATATATATATATATATATATATATATGATCAGGTCCTAAAGAAGCCTGTTTGCTGTGCTGGGTACTTTAAGTATGTCTTTTGGCTGGAGCTTTCTGTAGGATGAGGATAAACTGACTGTTTGTGGAGCCTGAGTGCTTGAAGTTGAATGCAATCAAACTGCTGATACGGCTGTACAACAGAAAGGTATCCAGATACACTACACATTGAAAAACCTCTCAGAAAGCTAGCATGATCTCATGCTAAACATTCTACCAGTTTTTAAGCCCTCTATGAATACTTTGATTTTTTTTTTAATCTGCTAGAATCCAGACAGATACAAATTCAATTTAACAGAATACCTTCTTGAAAGTGTGAAAGCATCAAAACAAAAGTGCGTGCATACACATGAATTCCTTTCCCCCTTCACTTACTGAATAAGTACAGGTACCAGCCACCAAAAGGTAAGAGGCAGTGCTAAATTTAATCGTGTAAATAATCTCAGGAGTTAAATTTAGTTTTGTATGCTTTTTCTGTTGCTTGTAACTATTCTGTTAAACAAAATTAACATGTGCAGCTTCCTACTGAAGACATTTTAGAACATTTTACTCTTTGAATTTGAAATGAAGTTTATTACAACGCAAAAGCCTGTAGTCATTGGCATTATCTTTTATGGGGCCAAGTTGGCAGTAAAACACATTTCCCATTATCTCTGTTGTTTAGCATCATTACTTCCTCTTGATATGAATGCACAAATCCCATAAAAGTAAGAAAGTTTTATAGCTTTGAGACACAGTGGGTTAGGAGTTGGGTACTTGCTGCATGTGCTCACGTATTTCTCTCCCTTTCTTACTTGGTTCTGTCTTGTGGAGCCACTAAAGAAAAGAAGATTCAATACTGGAAAGACAGGGTGGACGCTCTGGCTTTCATCCAGCTGAATGAATGCTTTAAGCATCCACTTCATAGGAAGCATTTAAGTAGTTCCGTGGGTGTTTGGAAATATAAAACAGTAAGGCTCGATTCTGTCCCTAGTTCAAATCATTGGCAAAATTCCCGTGGTGAAGAACTGGAAACTAATTAATGTGTAAAGCAAATATTATTGAATGTTACGTAAGCACGACATACAGCTCTTCTTGCTCCTCAGCAAGACACAAGAATATTTGCTGTCTGCAGAGCGTATCTGATAAAATCTTATAGAGAACTTGGACAGGAGGGGTCAAAATCACTCAAAAGTTTAATGATCAACAGAAGCCAGCTCTGAGAAAAGAAAACATTCAAAGGGAATGCTAAGCAAGCCAATGGCAATTTGCCTTTTACATATGGAATAAACTGCAGGACTTAGACCTTCAGACTGGAAAGGAGAATTAGACTCACAAAACACAGATAATAATAAATAAATAAATGATAAAAATCAGTGTATGTCAGCTTTTATGATGTGTTTTTCCTCATGACCTTGGAAACAATTGCTAAATACAAGCCATGTAAAAGCAAACAAAGCAAAGAATGCTTTGGTTTTGACAGATACCCACAATCATTATGGCACAATGTAATATTAAAAAAGTAAGTAAATCAAATTTTCATCACTTATAAGCTCCTAACAAATTGAGAACAGCCAAGCTGTTGGTTCTTAAAATAAAAATAATTTTGTGTTTCTTTGAGACTAGTTAGAAAAGGAATCAAACTACTTGCTATCTCTGCCCTTTCTTAAGCACTGCATGGGCATCAGCACTTCTGTGAAAAAGTTTAATCTTTTACTTGTGTTGATGAACTCTTGTACTGCAGTAGCAATTTCCTTTGGGTTAATTTGGTCCCAATACAATGTCCATTTGAGCCAACACAGATAAACTTACTGGGATCAGTAGGCAATGTGTTAGGCAGTATTGCAAGTGCTGACTTAAAAGTACATGGAGACTTTTAATAAAGAACCCCTCACCTGTATGAGATATGTACATGTATTAAGTCAGATCCTCAAGATCCACGTGCATTATGTCAACAGGGTGAACCAGACTTCTCATCACAAAAGCCAAGGTTTACAGGAAAATTTAGTAGCACTCAGAACATTCACGCCTATCCACAATCAGGAACTATGGCCACTGCTGCCTTGCCAGCTTTTCATTGTTAAAACGCATAAGAATACCCTTTAATAAAACTACAGTAAATTTGGTACTCTGCATGAATACCAAGGAAAGCACTGCCAATCCAAGTGTAAGCTAGCAGACGTATTAGTTTTTCCCAGACAGTATGACAGCAGCAAGAGAGAACAAGCTTTTCAAACAAACATGAGTAAATGCAAGCATTTTTTGAGGAAGGGTGTCAGGTAACATCATTCTCTGTTTACCATTTCCCCTTCAGTCGCGCTGTTTTGCTGTGAACCCAAACACTGCAACGTTGAGCATACTTACAGGAAGGGGTGCAGAATTCTGCCTCACAACTGAGAAGCAATAACCCTGAGTGACTTGCAAGCCATATAATTCTATTTTTATGCCAATAAATTGAAATACAGTTGTAGCATAGATACATAGTGAGCAAAGAATGTGCTTGCTTAAGCTCAATGAAATATGAGTGTTAATTTTATGGCTTCTCAGTCAGAGGTAGATCACATCTGAGAGGACTTGGAACATAGAGTTGGTGTGTGACATTTGTCATTAATAAAGTAGATACGGTCTAATCTTAAATGTTCCTACAGCTGTGCTCCTATGGAGTTGAATGGAGGACCTGCTACTGCTTCCTCACTTCCTGTGAAAAAAGATTATCTGATTTTCCATATTTGATGCCCAATAAATACTTTATAATATAAAAAATAATCAAATTTAAAGTAACCCTGAGTTCAAATTAGGTCTATATATTAGACTTTGGTTTTTTACACACAGTGTGGTGTACATTATCTTTTAATTCAGCAGTGTTATTGAATAGTGCTGAATAAGCATAATTAATTGAGACTAGTTAGCTTTTCCTCAATGTGTGGCAGTATTGAAACCAGAAAAAAACCCTCTTTACAACATGCTCAAGGTTATTAAATATGGGACTGATAGGTTGGGAAAATTACTGAATTTTTCATTGAGCTGAGTTTAAAAAAGCAAATGAAAGTTGTGGTCCTTTGATACTACTTCTGTTGCTGTGATGAAAATCAGGTCAAAATGGGAATAAACAGGGAAGACCCTTAAGAAAGAAGAAAAAGTATGACTGATCAGTATGATTCATTTATTTTAGGAACAAACCAGTGAGCAGAAAGTGTTTATACAGAAAATATTCTCACCTGCCAAGGATGAGATATTAATGATTACTCCCCCATTGCCTCCATTTCCTTTTCCCATGTATTCTAGGCCGAGGTAGGTTCCTCTAATCACAGATGTCTGATATAGGGGGGAAAGGGATAATTATGTTCAAAATATCTTTCTTGCATGCTCCTAAAAACTGAATCTTGCTTTTATTGTCGTGCCTAGAATCTGTATTGCTTTACCAGTGATCTTATTTATACTTTGAAGATTATAACCCAGAAGACACTCCACAGTAATGCAACTCAATAACTTCAGAAACACAATTGCAATTGGTAGAAATAATAGTAGCTTAATTATTTTTCTTATTAAGATATCAATAATCAAACTAAAATGTTACAATGTGAAATAAGAGCTGTGAAGGAAATGAAATAAAAAATAAGTAAATAATTTACAGACAAAACACTTTATCTAAGGATATAAGTGGCAGAAGAACTGATCCAAATCCCAGAATTTCTGTTGAGACACACTGCTCTACGTTATAAAATATGTACAGACTGAATCTAAAGGTAACAGTAATAACTCAATTTGGCTCAAAGCATGAGAAATTTACACTTTTTAGGATTAAGCGATGTGATATATTTCTGGTACCAGGATATTAAAACTTTGTACTCTTTTCTGACTGAAGTTATTGGAGTTTTACCATTCTTCTCAAATGAAAGTTAGCCCAAACAGACAAATGCAGAATACTTTTAAAAAAGTATTCTAAGAGATGTGAAATGTTGTTAGCATAATATTAGCTGCAGCACATGATTTTTAAAAATATTTTTTTAATTTTTTTTTTTTTTTAAAGAAAGAATTTTGAGGGAGAAAATTTTACTGAGACCTGTATCATCTTGATTCCTTCAGATCTGTTTGTGAACCCTACTGCAGTCAGAAATTCCCCTGGGATCCCTCTCACCAAACTTCAGACATTTAAACTGAGGTGCCTAAAGATACACCAAGCCTGGGGTTATCAGTCTCCTGAACAAATCAAGAGAGAGAGTGTCTCCCAGTGAGTAAGTCGCTTTACCTGAGATTTTAACAAGTTATAATAGAAAGGCAGCAGACAATGCTCCTAGTGGAAATGTTGCAATATTACTGCATTAGTGATGAGTTTCATAATTATTTACCAATTTTTTTAGATCTCCCCGTAATCAGTTCACATTTGGTTTACAACTTCTACTTAAAATGAACAAATGTATTGAGTGACTTCTATTCTTATGGAAATATTATTTCAGCTTTTAAATGAGAACTCCATTTATACTTTATTACTGTTTAGCGTTATTCATTTGACCCAAATAAATTAAGACGTTCAAAAGATGAAGTGGCCCTACAAATATTTCCACTTCTGTGCATAATTATTTCACTGAGCTTTTTGACCAGGGAAGGTCTACAGAATCATAGAGACAGAAATTTCCCAAAGTAATAAAAAACCCACAGTGAATAATCTATATATGCCTAAATCTTAATGGATAGTGGCTAGTCGTACTGGAAAGAAAAAGCTTTTAAAATCAGAACATTAAGTATTTTTCTACCATTATCTAAATTCCCAAACCAAAATTGGAATAATTTTAAGATGGGTATTACATTTCATTTTCATTAGCTGATCTTTTTAGACAAATGTGTTATAAAACCTAAAGTAAAACTTTTAATTCAATTTCAGTTATCCTTTGTGCTTGTTGGTTTTAATAGGAACCAGCTTTGGAAGACTGCATGTCCTACTTTATTAATATCGCTTGTTCATTTTCCAAGTAACGTGAAGTTAAGCTGCCCCTTGACAGAGATAAAACCACCTGAGGCCTCCTTACCAAGTTTGCTTTGGAATTGTGATAATGAATCTGCTTTTTAAATTTTCTACAGTTGCAGCATTTTATGTGATATTTTCACTATTAATATATTTTCAGTATACCTATTACCTGGAATAGTGTAAGAAATCACAAAATATGAATATTTCAAAATTCTGAAATAACGTTTTAAATTTTTCTTAAACAAAAAATTCCCATAAAAAGCTTTTTGTTCTCTCCTGAAGAGTTTTGTTTCAGGCAACATGCTTTTAAAAAATATTTTGATTATTATCAAAAGAATGTTATTGACTAAATGTTTTAGCAGAAACTTTCCAAAGAACTATGTTCAGTGGCTTGAAAAAATACCAAACTAAATCTGATTTCTCTTGCATGTCCTGGAAAGTAGCAGAGCCCTTATAAATATAATCTAGTGCTGTTTAATCTTGATTGTCACATGTAAATTTTAAAGGATTTATTGAAAAACAAGACTGTTAATGCCCAGTACTGTTGCTGTAAGGTATATTTATTCTGAATATAAACTCATTGGCAGCTTAACCGCAATTAGGCTTGGACGTAAGGGTGAATGGTGTTTTTTTAATATATACATAAGATAGGCTGTACACAAGACATTGTAGAAAGGAAGGGGTTAATGCTGTCTATGGAGAGCAGGTGCAGGTCCTATCATGCCCTGGAGCAGTGGCTCAGCCTGCTGAACAGAAAAAGAGAATTCCACTTAGGATGATTAGAGCAAATAAATCAGTTGGAGAAGGAAGTAGCTTAGGGCTCCTTGAGGATTTTTCTATTCCTCCATCCTTCTTATTCAAAGAGATAATAGAGCTAGATGAGTCCTTGGCCAAACCACAATTATAAGTCAAGAAAAAAGTGAGTAGCTTGACTCTCCTATCAAAATCACTGTACTGCTCTTTTTTTCTCTCTAGAATCCATTAACTTAGCATTTTTTCAAGGGGCCGGGGAAGCCTTCTCCTTTACGTAGGTATTGTAAGAGGTTGTCTTCAGAATAAATGTAGACTTTCATTCGGATATTGCCCTTATACCTGCTGTTATCTTTGCGAAAAACTTCTCATCAAGTGTGGCTGATCTCAGGTGACATGGCTATTTCTGATATCTGGGCTGGTAACATAAAGAATTATTCTGGACATAAACTCTGAACCAAATATACAGCGTGAGAACAACCTAGCTGTCTGCCCACTCAGCAGATAGCACTTCAGGTGAAAGGCGTTGTGTGATAGATCTCCCATTCTCCTGCCAGAATTCCCCACTCTCCAGGAGACAAGTCTTCTCAATAGTTCTCCAAGGAAGAACAGCAGTGGCTGAACTTACTGTAGTACGAAAGTCATACAAGGTGGGCTGAGAAGTCTTAGTGCCACTTTCCAGTCGAGCCTGTTGATTCAGCTGAGTTGATAAAGTGAAGCTGGCTCTCATATCTGGGTGCCAAACACTCAAACGGGAAAGAGGTTTTCCAAAGGACAATAGTCTTTGGACTACTGTTTTCCAAAGAACAATAGCATATTGGGTTTGGGGTTTGTTATGAAATCCATCTTTGCAAGTGCATAAATTGCAGCCTCAGGCTTCCTCTCATATGAAGTGCAACTTTGGATTCCTATTTGTTGACGTCAGAATACTTAGTCTGAATTCTAGAAGAAAGCTTAACAGCTATTACTTTACTATACCATGAAATACACAATAGAAAATAAGACAGGCAAAGAATGATGCGCTTTGTGCAGCCTAGTTTTCTGGGTTTTAGGATATGATGAAAACTGTCTGTAATTTGCCTTTCAATAAACTGAAAGAAACTGAAGGTGTCTTCAGACCGTGTAGTTCTCCATGTATACTTTTAATAATAATAATTTAATCCCATGCTCTTAACCAACAATAATTCATAGTTTGTCTATTGCAAATAGAAATTCTGAGAAAGTTAAATTTAAAATTACCTCATTAAAAAAAAATTGCCTGACTTGGTTTAAGATTAAAATATGTTAGGAGACTTAACTTTGTACAGGAAAGCATGTTGCATTTTAGAGTTGAATTTTCTACAGTTCCTTTGTTTACAACTGCATTTATCTGCATGCATGTTGTCCATAAACATGTCAAGAACAAAGAGTAGGAAAGTAGTCAAATTTGCAATTAAATGCAGGTAAAGTGAAAATTGGGACAGCTGACTCTCACCTAGTTTTTTTTGCTTCTGGCTCCTGAAAACTAGTGTCATTAAAATCAGAAAATAATCTAAATGGTTGTCCTCCTAGCTGTTGAAAAACCTGTGATTTTAGTGATACTACTGTTTGTTTTCTTACCAAAATACAGTGAGTTACTATAGCACTTAATGAAGATGGACCATCAAGGTGCACTGCAAGTCTGAGTGTGCTCCCAAGAGAGGCAATTTTACTCTTCAACTGCTAGTAGAAAACTTAGAATTCTTTCCAATGAAGTTATAATGGTAAGTGTGGTAATATCTTGTAGTATTAGCTTCCATCAAATGCAGATTTAAATTAGAGGAGATCAGACATTCTGAAGCACCATACAGTAACCCCCAAAACTTAGTACCTAACAGCATGGTAAGCTTTGCAAAATAATTGTGCAAATACTTAAAACATTTGCAGTTGCTTTTGGAAGTACAATATCAGTAATCAGTAACTGATTTAACAAATCATTAAATGGCAATTTAGGTATCAGTGTCAGAATTGGAAACAAAGCTTACAAAATCTGTGATTCTTGACATTTCCATGTATCCCACGGCTGTATAGTTTTAACTGTATTGTTCTAAAAGAAATCATATATTGAAACTCTGATTCTAATAAGACTCCAAGTCTTCAATAAGACACCCAGTTCATTTTTTTCTGGTGTTAGGAACCAATGTTAGCCAGTGTTGTACAATGTTCTTGTATTCCAACATTACACCAGTAAGTCAATTTTCATACTTTGTGTTTCATTTTAGCTTGATCTATTAAAAAGAAAAAAAAAAGTGTTCTTCAGTGATGGTGCCCAGAACATCGTTAATCGTCATCCTTTGCAAGTGACAATTGCTTTGAAAGTAATTTAGTACACAGTGCTTTTTTTTCCCTAGTGTTTCAAGGCAGGTGTTCCAACTGACATAGTTTCTCATACCTATTTAACGAGGTTTCCCTTGCCACCTCTTGTCTGATACTTCTGCTGTCTCCTTATGCATACTAATATTTTATGCTGAGAAACTATATCTGCATTCCTTCAGTGCTGAAGATGACTACCCTGTTGTTCTCAAGGTGATAAGGCAATATGAATTCCTTTGAGAGAACAAAATGGTAGTCAGTAACCAGT